ATAAATAAGGACCCACCCCATTATATATATATGATAGCAACGTCACTTTAATATTGTTCCAGCCGTATGCTAATAGTATGTTGTTTACATTAGGTTTCAGCGAACGATGAATTTAGACGTTTTCAGGGAGATTATTCATTGAGAACAATGGGTGAATGTGCAACTGATCGTAAACTCCCGAAACTGTGTTCAAGGCATTTGTACCTGGTCTTAACTACAGAGTCCGTGATCGTCGTCGTTTCTTTAACAAAGCAGCATGTCTTTAGTAAGATATATAAAATTATGTATTTATAACAAACGTAAATGATAAACAGCACATAAACACGTTAAATAATTCATTGTTCTATGACGACTGCTGCTTATGTTTGTATTACACACATCAGCATAAACAATACTTACCATTTCGGTAACTTATTGATTTAATACATTTTATTAAGAATATTGTTGTAAACAAAGAACTGTATATCATCATGTATCATTTTATTTATTATTTCAATTGAACATATAATATATTATTATGTATATATGCTGTTGTCCTTAAAGATAATTTTCGGGTACACATAACCATTACATTAATCCTTAAATTAATTATCAGATACACATCAATTATATTATTTCAGTTTAATAACTTTATATATGTTACTCATTCTTGTCATTCATTAGTTATATCTGAACTCATGGTGTTTACCAATATGTACAATATTTTTAACACATTTTTGCTTATATGTAGGCTCAGTTATAGGAGTTAAAAAGAAAATATGCACAAAAATTGTAAATATGCATGAAAATATGTTAAATATGCAAAATAAAATTTATTAAATATGCAAAAATGTACTACGGCTAAGGCCAAAAATATTTTTGTTTTGCTTAATGTTTGGCTTCATTTTTAGGTTTAATTGTAATTTTTCAATCTAAAATATACATAGAATAAAAGTTATTTTGGCACTATATTAATTTTTAATTCATTAAACATATATAGATTATTGTAACCGTCATACCTGTAAATGTATTGCATTGAATAACCAGAGCTTTTGATATTTTCATCTCAACGAACGACGGTTGTTCAGGCACATTTTGTAGCGCGAAAACTCTTCAACATCCGACAGTTATGGGTGCGTATTTAAAGCGTGCTAAGTCATTCCCATTTAAGTCTTCTGGTAGTCCTTCCATTTGCTTCACCAGTTAAATGCTTGATATTTTTAAAATCATTAAAACCACAGTTTTTCCAAACATTTTAATTTTTGATTGCAGTGCCTGCCCCTGTCAATAGTCAGTTTAACTTATTTTCGACGGATTTCACCGTCGCTATTGACTCATGTAACGGAAGTTTTGTTTTCGAGTTGTATATTGTTGTCGGTAAAACCATAATTTATATGAATGAAAGTTAAGTTCATTTCCAACAAACGGCCACTTACAATGTCTTTAGCTTCTAATAGAAACCGCATCGCTTGAATCTAGAAGTTGTAAACTTGTTTATTTCTTTAAAATATTGACAGTACATGAAGCTGCTTGTAGCCATGTCCCCAACGTAGTAATACGGCCCGGCGGAAGTGGAATTCCAGGAGCCTAGCTAAATAATATAGTACGAGACGAAAAGTCAAAATACTTGTTTTTACCTCGATATTAATTTATCTACCTTAGAAATGATCACGTATTTCTTCTGCTATTCTATGCACCTGTGAGCCAAACATGTGACGTGTATCATTTTTGAATAATGCTTTAGCTGTAACAGCTTTTCATGTACGGAGCCGCATCACTTACAAATAAAGTATTACCGTGCCGATTCCATCTGGCCACAAAGTAAACATTGATGCATCAAATAGTTTAGCTGTTGTTGAAAAATTAACTTATCAAGAACTTCGGATGTCAATAAAAATATGTCACCAGGTTCATCTATCAATGTTCCCACTATTACGTTCGCAATAAATCTACCTTCGACGTCAGTACGAATTATTCAGTCATACACCTCCTATAAATACACTAATATATAGAACAAATCGCTATTAGATTAACGATAACGTCGATAGCAAGACGTTAGTGCAATAAGATAAATACGCCTGGGTTGTAGGCACATCGCGCTCTGACTGTTAATTTAATCAAAAGAAAATAATAAAACCCTATAATTATTAGAAAACATCAATTTGTTTAGAAAATATTAAACGAGCATAAAAATCCAATGGTAAATTGAGAAATTGGCGTATAAAAGCATATGAAAATTGAGAATACACTTTTTCTAAACTGACAAAATATGCAAAAATATGCACTTTTAATTTTTATTTGCTTGTCATTGTATAAAACGGATTTCTAGCCTGTCTGCTATAAATTAAGGGCATAGAAAATATGCAACTCTAACTTCCGAGCCCTACGTTATATGCTTTCATTCATTGTATGTATGGTATTATTATATTATATTAATTAATATATAATAATGTCACACTCATTCCTGTAACTCTATTATATGTGTGCATACTTCAATTACTCTCAATATTATTATATAACTGTGCTATCATACTCAATTCCAATTTAAGCATGATATATGTTGTTACAAAAAAAAAGTGGCACCCACCAACTAAGCTCATTTATTTTTGAATTATTTCAATGATGATGATTCATTACATTCTTATTTTATTGTTATTATAATATATATTATATATACAATTATATGTATATATTTATTTCTAATATATACACACACACATACACACACACACACATATATATATATAACTAATAAGTTCTTAATTTAAATTTCAATAATTTTGTACATACAGATACATTAAACCTGACCTCATATGATGTTTAGGTAGTACAAAATAATCAACCGATTATAGAGATTGCGGCACCAGACGGCGAACAAGAAATGGACGTGGAAATTGTTGAAGTCCAAATTGATGAGGTAGAGTAGACGAAGAACCATTGGTGCAACCCCAATTAGAAGTCTTCCCAGATGACATTGAGGTTGTAGATTTGCTGCCTGCTGATGCTGCAGCAGTATATGAATTCATAGATGTATTCGACGTTTTACCACCAGACGTCGACAATGAAGTCAGTGTATATTTCACATTAAATAAAAACAGATGACATTGTTTTTTTACAACTTTGATGTTTAAACTACAGTTTGTACCAATTCCCCTGGGTGCTCCCAGAGCACGTGTGCCCGTAAGAGACCGTCCGGCTGGCATTCAACACCAACTTCCCGAACAGCACAACATAGGATCATTGGATGCCGTCTGCGATCACTGTGGTGGCCATCATTTCCACTGTGAGAAGATTGGAAGGTCTCATTTTTCAACGTGTTGCAATAATGGTCAAATGGCTATAACGGGTGACCGTGTGTTGGGTCAACCTCCAGAGTTATTAATTCGTTTGTTAATAGATGATTCACAGGTAGCCAGGCACTTTAGAAAAGAAATCAGACGATACAACAACACTTTGGCGTTTGCTGCGTTTTCCACTGACCTCAACCCAAGACGTTTGCCAGGTCGGGGACCAAAAGTGTTCACTGTTCATGGGCAAGTGTATCGCAGGATTAGTAACGACATTGTCAGAAATGAAATGATGCGACCGAGTTACTGTGAGCTGTACTTTATCGAATCTGGGGAAGCCAACCGGATTCGAATGGCACAACAGCCACGCCAACACCCGCTATTGGAGAACTTGATTACAGACTTAGACAATCTGTTACGGCAAATCAATCCATTTGCAGCGGCTTTCGAGTAATATATTTAAATATACATAAATGTGTATATGTATATTATGCATATATTTAGCAAATACATATTATTATTACTTTACACTTATAAACAAACCCATTATATTGAAAATGATTAACTCTATTACCAACACCTATTATATTATGTTATATGTATATATAAACATAACATATCTTTTTGTTGTACATAACAAACAACAATTACATATAATAAATTATTGTTGACACTTAAGTGCACTGTAGATTTGCTGTACCCGTTATTGTTACCATACTTTATATAGTACTTTTAGTTATTTCTTTTTGTCAACTTGAATAATATTGTTATAATATTTTATTGATTACACATTCACATTCAATACCACTCACTAACTACATTAACTTAATTTCATTAGTATTCCAGACTATTGTGTTGCAATACTTATAATTATTATGTTGTTATATCCTTTATTCTAATACCAATGTTCATAGTTTACATCTTATTCACTACCCACTCATAAAGGAACGCATTTTGAGGATAGGATTTACCATCTGGAATTTTATAATACCAGTACACTGTCATATTCTTATTTTTCTTATATATATACACCTACATACATTATGGACATCAACACTAAGCTGTGTGCATTGCTTCAAACGAGACTTAAACCTAATTACCTCTATGACATTTTTTATTTATTTTTATTACAGTATTATATTATATTTTTTTATTACACTGAGCATCACATATCTTATGCGCATTGCTTACAATAATAGAAGACTTCCGAATAAGACTAAACTGCTACACTTACGGTTTAATTTTATTTACACGCAGATAACTGTAATATCATTATTTTGTTAACAGGACCATGCGACAGGTATGGCAGAGGAAACAAGACGCTGCTGCTGCCGATCACACGGTGCAACCGAGGAGAGTGACAATGCACATCATCGCCGACCCAAATAATGACCCTCGGCGATACAATCCACCAACTGGTAATGCAAATGAAATAGCAGTCGTATTCGTTGGTGATGACGGGCTACCACCGAGGAACCTCGATCTGGTCATCTATGACACGAACCCGGTGGACGCACAACACCGGATGCAAAGCATATCAGTGGGCTCGCCTCATGCGGATCCTATGCTGTATCCACTGTTCTTTCCATACGGAGAATCCGGTTGGCAGTACAACCTGCGACAAGAGGGTAACCGCCGCAATGCTGTTCGCGTTCGGAACACCATCAGGGAGTTTGTGTGTTACCGCCTGGCCATTCGATATACAGGAAACAATGGAAATGTGAATGACGGCCAAACATTAAGTTTATTGCATGCCGGTGGTTTTTTGTTACAGCAGTACGTGTGTGATCAGTACGTTCGGATGGAAGCGAATAATTTACGCTACACTAGAGAGAATCAAAGGACGCTGTTTGCCGAAGCGTATCAGGGGCTTGTGGACCACATAAACCAACAACTTCATGTAGATGAAATCGATCCTGTCGATCGTAGGATGATTTTGCCATCAACGTTTGTAGGCGGCCCCCGTTACATGAAACAATGTTACCATGACGCGATGGCCATTGTGCGTAAGTACGGTAAACCTGACCTGTTCATAACGTTCACATGTAACCCTAAGTGGCCAGAGATTGTTGACAACATTCCAAATTGGTTAAAAGCTAACGACAGGCCAGATTTGGTGGCAAGGGTGTTCCATGCAAAACTTAAGGAGCTAATGCGTGATATAACAGTTACTAAGGTGTTTGGTAATGTTGATGCTTACGTTTATACTATTGAGTTTCAGAAACGAGGTCTTCCGCACGCCCACATACTCATTATCTTGCAAGAAGACAGTAAGTTGCATACTGCCGACGACGTTGACGATGTGGTATGTGCCTGCTTACCAGACCCGGCAACTGACAGACGCCTATTCAACAGTGTGACATCACACATGATTCATGGACCGTGTGGACAGCTTAACTATAACAGTCCGTGTATGGTGGACAACAGTTGCTCAAAAAACTACCCAAAAGAGTACAGCGAAGAGACTTTGTACATTTCCGACAGCGGTTACCCGACGTACCGCAGACCAAATAACGGACTTGAGGCTAACGTCAGAGGTCACCGAGTAGGAAATGAGTTTGTTGTGCCATACAACCCTTACTTGCTGATCAAGTATGATGCGCACACCAACGTTGAGGTATGCTCTACAGTGAAGAGCGTAATGTATCTATACAAATATGTGTACAAGGGACATGACGCGGCTACCGTGGAAGTTTGGAATGGAAATGAAATAGAAAAGTGAGTTGTTCAGTTAATTTTTTTTTTTTTTTTACATACCACTTATACAATATTTTTACTTTTAAGACTATGCCAATATATTTAATTACAATTGTATCAACACTGACATTTAAACTTATCATAAACTGCTACAACTTCGTTCGTAATGATTATACTTCATTTAATCGATTGATATATAGATACACAAAAATATAGTACAAATGCAATTCATTAAAAATATATATTGTTATTTGATAACTTGAGATTATCGAGCACAAACACCTAACGTTTCATACTGTACATTACAGCTTATATTATGTGGATGGATTATATTGTAAAATTTATTATGAGTTGTATTATAAGAATGCACAACAATACACATTACTTTTTTTCTATTAAATTTTCACATGTGTTTAAAATAAATCTAATTAAATTTCTTAAGTCATATTTTATTATGTATTAATCTCTTTTTTTCTTTTACAAAATGTATAAGGAGATATTATAGAGCATTAATAATGTACATCACTTTGAAATAATATAATCTTAATAAAGAACACCACTACATACAATATTTATTGCTAAATTAATAACATTACACACCATGTCATATACATCCATATATACAGTGTGATCACGATAAGTGGAAACACTCAATAACTATGTGCAGGCTTCATATATTTCAATTCTGCTTCTTCGGCTAACTAATAAACATTATTATACACATTTTCAAATAATTAGACTATTTTTTTGATAACTAATTTTGCGCATGCGCACAATAACTTTTTTTTTTTAAATGGCATGATCCATTTTTGACCACAAATTATTTTTTTTGGTATTTTTTAATGAATTTTAGTGGTTGAATTTCTTTTCTAAGTCAAAAATTGACCGAGTTATAGCAATTTGCTTTTATGTTATTTGCACGGGTATGAAATACGTAGATGATAATAATAAATACGTAAATAATAAAAATAAAAATAACTTATCCAATTTATGAAATACCTGTCTACCTATTGTGTTTATCTTTATTAATTTTATCTCAGTAATTGCATTAGAATTATAATGTATAAATAATGTCACATGGGCATAGGTACCAGTAATGGTTCAAATTAAGACATTTTTCACAGTCAATATTATTCTGCAGTAAGTGCCAGTAACTAATAGGAAATAAAAATCGATATTTTGTAGTTTTAAACCAAATTTAATACTTATCTATTTATCTATTAGTTATTATGAATAATAATTCAGAAAAAGTTGACATGCTTTTTACATATTGGGAATGCCAAAAAAATACACGTCTTGCCAAAGAAACCTATGCTCTTCGTTATCCAAGTAACTACTCGTATGATTTAACAATAAATTTAATTTTCTCTGCTTAATTTCTCATAAAATAAATGCTCTTTCTTATTTATAAATTCAGATAGGCAGCATCCATCACATACTTTTTTTATAAACGGGAAAAAAATTTGAGAGACACCGGTTCTTTTTCCAAACGAGTTATTAACCAACAACCAAGACGAGGAAATGCTATTGGAGAAGATATTGAGGTGCAAATACTAGCTTACGTGAGAGCAAATCCTAGGACTTCTATACGCCATGTTAGTAGAGAAATAAATATTTCATTTGGAGTTGTTCAAAAAATTTTGAAAAAACATAAAATGCACGCTTATCGTGCCGATTTAGTTCAACATTTACGCGAAGGTGACGCCGAACGTAGAATTACGTTCATTGCTTGGTTGGAAACACAGTTAAACGAAAATCCTTATGTTTTAAATTACATTCTTTGGACAGACGAATCAAAGTTTACAAATAATGGAGTTTTAAATAAACAGAATCATCGCTATTGGGATGACCAAAATCCTCATTGGACATTTGAGACCAACAATCAAAGTGTGTGGGGAACGAATGTATGGTGTGGTTTAATAAATGGTAAACTATTAGGGCCATACTTCTACGATGGCACTCTTAATGGAAGGCGATATCATGATTTCTTACTAAATGAGCTCCCTAATATGTTAGATGACCTTCCACTAGACATAAGAGCAAATTTAATATTCCAACAAGACGGAGCTACAGCTCATAATGCAAATATTGTTCGCAATCAGCTCAATGAATATTTTCCAAATCGGTGGATAGGGACTTATGGAGCAGTTCAGTGGCCACCAAGGTCACCAGATCTTACACCACTAGATTACTTCCTATGGGGTCACTTGAAAACGGTAGTGTATGCCAATCCACCTACGTGTCTTCTTGAGTTGAAAAATAAAATACTTGCTGCATGTAATCAAATTACAGAAGAACAAATTATTTCTGCTATTAACAGAGAATTTTTAATTCGTGTTGAATGTTGTTTACAGCACCATGGTGCACAGTTTGAACAATTTGTTGGATAAATAAAACTTTTATGAATAAAAAAATCAATATTTGTAATTTTATTTTTATTATTTACGTATTTATTATTATCAACTACGTATTTCATACCCGTGCAAATAACATAAAAGCAAATTGCTATAACTCTGTCAATTTTTGACTTAGAAAAGAAATTCAACCACTAAAATTCATTAAAAAATACCAAAAAAAATAATTTGTGGTCAAAAATGGATCATGCCATTTAAAAAAAAAAAGTTATTGTGCGCATGCGCAAAATTAGTTATCAAAAAAATAGTCTAATTATTTGAAAATGTGTATAATAATCAGTGGCGGCTCGTGGCTTGGACGACGGGACGATCGCACCTCCTACTAAAATTAGTAAAAATAAGAAAATTTATTGTATAATCTTAATTCTGATTTTTAAAAAATATTTATTATTTATTATTATAGTTATAACTTATAAAGGTATAATACATTTGTCGTGTGCGAACATTACATTATTTTGTTTTTCTCTGATACCAGAAGCGTATCGCATAATATGGATACGCATCGTATTTGGACGACCTGCAGCGTCGTCGTCCGTCGTGGCGTATGGTTCGTATGTATAAGCGAGGCGCTGAACGATGTGCGTGCGGGTACATTTAAGCTGCGCTCTTTTGTACTGGTATTGGACGACCGGCAGAATCGTCCAAGCAATATTGCCAATATTCCGAATACGTATGTTACAAGCGAAGCGCGCAATCGTGTGCGTGCGGTTACGTTTATTGTACGATGTTATTATACGGGTTTGGACGACCGATAGCGTCGTCCATACAGTAATATAATACTATATATATATTGGGTAATTTATTTTTAAAATTAACAGCGCTGCTGTCGGTTGCTTATCGCTATTAATTATTATTACTTTAATTTCTATTTTGTACTAGTGATGTTAAACTGTGACAAATATTTATCACACTGTGAATTTGCTACTGTGATAATAAAAATCACAGTGAAAATAGCAGTGATTACTACTTTGTCCATTAATCCGTTATCACGAATGTAGTAGGCAGTAGGCAGTAGCAGTTGACTGCTATATTTCACAAGTAGTGATATTATTTACTGCGAATTGCGATAATAAATCGTATTATTATTGAGATATTATGTTAAAAACATAATATGATTATGTTATAGATATTTTACGACGAGTATAAATAAAAAAAAACGAAGTATTATTAAGAAGACGCAACACCCTGCGTCTTCGTCTCATTTACGTAGTGTTGTTACTTTGTTAGCTTTAATATTAGAGTGAACTTACCTATTATCAAACTCTAAGACAAGAACATTATCTGTATGTTCTCGTCGGTTTTTTAATTAATAAGCGAGCTAGAAGTTTTTTAAAATTGAAATATCGTAAAAACCGACGAGAAGACACAGATAATGTTCTTCCTTTTGAGTTCGAAAATAAATAAGTTTAATGAAATAAGCTAATAATACTACACTTGAATTACTGAACGTAAATTTGCTATGTTGTACGTTTGTCCTCATATAAACAAACTTAACCTAGTTATTAAATATTCCTTATAAATATTAAATATCAATATAAATAAATTAACAGTAGTCTTTTTCTGGAGGATTAGTTTAAAATGATCCAATTTCAATTTTAAATATAATTAATTCATTTTATTTTATAAGAATCAAAATTGGTCGTTATATTGACACATTAAATTTAACTATTATACTCCCAACAAGAACGTTTATTTATTTATATCGATATTAAAAATATTTAATAACATTTTGCCACTAGTAAATTATAGCAGTATTCAGTGTTGAAATAATAAAAATAATATTGTTATAAGATATTTGAAAATTATATTAAACCCTTGGTCAATGGTTCTATTTTTGTCTTATATTTTTAATTTATGTAGTATGTTTTTGTTTATAAATAAAATCATTTACCATGGATTTGGTTGATTTGTCTTATGGTTATTCCCTAATTCCCCACCAAGTCATTGTTTTTGGTAAAATATTAAAAAACAAATTCTTATAAATATTTTATTGTAAACATTTCTTATTTTATAATGTCTGATGCGTTCATTTTAACACTTGTGTTGTTAAGTGATGTGCTAAGTGTTTAGAAGTTAAAATTTTTTCGACTATTCCATTTCTTATATTTTTAATTATTTTAATTGTTTACAAATTAATTAAAAAATGAGTCAACAAAGACGTTTTAGTGCTGTTTGGCAATATATGACAGCTTTTGATAGCACTTATGCTGTGTGTGATGTATGCAAAAAAAAATTGTCATATAAAACGTCACTAACCAATTTAAAAAAACACATCACCGGAGTTCATGGCATAAATATAGCAGAAAGAGTAAGTATTTAAGTAAAAAAATTTATAACTTAAAAAGTAAAAAGTCAAATTCAATCTTCATTTTATTAATAAGAGCTGTAAATATGTAGCACTTAAAGTTTTTATTACAAATTATTGATATAATTAGTTTTCATTATGTTGATTTAATATTACTACATTCAACAGATATACAATTTACAATTTACAATTAATCGGAAAATTTGGGCTACTATTAGGTAATCTACTTATAAATGTAGACAATTATAAAAATGACTAATAAATTCTATTAAACATAAAATATAAAATTATTAAACTTCTTAATTA